TTGAGAAGTGCTGTCGAGTCGGTTCCGACCCATAGCAACCCTGTATAGGGTTTCCGAGGAGCAGCTGGTGAGCTTGAACTGCTAACCTTGAAGTTCAAATGACTTTTCAGTCTGGAGCATTAACCCACAGCACCACACCAGGATTCCATAAATACTTATATGTTGTTGTTGTTAGGTGCCATCGAGTGGGAATCGACCCAAAGAGACCTTATGTAACAGCAGAACGAAACAGTGCCCGATCCTGAGCCAACATCACTACTGTTGCCATTGAGTCCATCAATGATGCCACTTGGCCAATCCATCTCGTTGGGGGTCTTCCTCTTTTTCTCTGACCCTCTACCATATAGGAAAATTTAAATATAATTTCAAAATCTCAGTACAATTGCTATATTTTATTCACCGAAGTCTTAGATTATTTGATAGCTTACATTACTTTAAATTTCATTTAAATAAAAACAACAGAACAAATGTCCAATTTAACCTAAATTCTGTAGGGATACAGCACCATTAAGTGAGGGCTTCTAACTGAATTTGGTCTGATTGCATTAGTCATGTTTTAGGGAATTCAAATACATTTTCTGAAGTCTATAAAATATTTTCATAATATTGCTCATCTTTAATCAATCACAAGTATGCTCTCTTCTACTAGGTACACCTATGGCCAACCTGTGCAAGGGAAAGTCCAAATCCAGGTGTGCAGAAAATTTTATGCCTCTATGGACTGCGAGAAAGACAATGCCATCTGTGAAGAGTTTATTGCACAGGTACCGTCCATGAACTTTACTCTGAAAAGTTCTCCTTATGTGTTTCATTACTATTCTTTCTTTGACTCCATCTATAAAAAAACGCTTAACAATACTAATGTTTTCATTTTGTGAATAATAGAGGTTGTAGTTCGGTATGGTGAAGAATGAGGAGAAAGTACAATGTTTGACACCAGTACCTTTTTTTGCTAGACCATGCAAATTGTTATGCACCTATAGACTCACAAGATTTTTAGAATTGGAACAATCTTATTGGCCTAATTCATTTATATGCTGAGTAGGTGGCTTTTCTGCTGTTGCTTAGAGAATCAGTAATTATCCTGAAAATCAATAAATCTCTGAGACTACCAGAGGCAGATAACCCATTAAGCAAGGTAAGCACAGGCTTGCTTGTGCTTATTTATTAATCTGTAATAAACCTGGGTTTTACCAACATCTGATGCAGTGCTTACATTGTTTACTTAATACTTCATTTTTTAGTACTTACATTGTTTACTTAGTACAATCCGTCAGCGAGTGCAAATTTGAAAAGAAGCTTTTTCTGTAGAAGGTGCTGTGAGGTAGGAAAGGAGACAGATGCCAGTCATACGCAGAAGCAGAATCTTTGATGTGGCGAAACAATATGAAATTGTTCATTACAGATTAGTAAGAAGTACAAGTAAACCTGTGTTTCCCTTGTTTATTGTATAGTTAACACTAGATACTATGAACCCTGCAACCTAGAATTGCCCTTGTGAAACAGCTTATGTCTAAACATTTGCAATTCACAGCATCTACTTTTATTACTTTACATTTGTGGTTGATATTTGAAGCCACCACTTGTTTTCTTCATCTACAAGATCTTTATATTATTAGTTACCATTGACTTTTGATTTATGCTGTGGGCTAATGCGCCAGACTGCAAACTCATTTGAACTTGAAATTTGGTGGTTCAAGCTCACCAGCTGCTCCTAGGAAGCCCTAGACGGGGTCACTATGAGTCAGAATCCACTCAACAGCACTTAACAACAACAACAATATACGCAAAGTAGAACAGTTTCATAGGTTTTTTAAGTCTGTGACCTTTTGGAACCAGATTGCCAGATTGCCAGCCCTGTCTTCCAGGGTGCTCTGGGTGTGTTCGATCTGCCAGCCTTTTACCTTTAGTCAAGTGGTTTACAGAGGCACTACATAGGGGCTCATTGCAATATGTTAATACTCTATTGTACTATAGCTCTCAAAACAACTCTGCCTTTCTCTGGAGATTGCTTTTGACATTCAAATGTGAAATTTACATACAATGTATGACATTACTCATCTTCTAAATCTGTAGCACAGTATTTAGTAAAGATAGGGAGAAACTTACCTTTGGATTAAAAAAATACAAGCTAAGAAAATTTGAGTGGAAATCTTCCACATCAGTATCATATTATTCCACTGGATAGTTGTTGGTTATAATGTAATTTTGTTGTTGTTGTTAGGTGTAGAGTCTGTATCGACTCTTGGTGACCTCACACACAACAGAATGAAACATCGCCCAGTGATAGGTGTTCATTCAATTTATGTTCTATTTTCCCCCCAGTGTGAAAAATATAGTAAGAAACAAATTGATAAAGTTATCTCCAAATTTGAGAGATCTTATTTATCTTAAATAGAGTCCTTGGAGTGGGTTTCTTGAGCTGAAGGAAAGATAAATGGATGACTGATAGATAGATAGATAGATAGATAGATAGATAGATAGATAGATAGATAGATGCAATCATATATGAATCATTTATAATTTTAACTTTAAGAGCTATTAGTATATTACCTTCCAGAAAGGTTTAAATATTCAGATTCCTCTCAGTAATATCATGTAGTCCCCATCCGACATGCTAGCTTCTCCTATTTGCCTTTTAAATCAGTTCTGTCATGGACAACAATCCAAAACAGGAACAGACCCGTGTTCTACAATTTGGCTGATTAGGCACAGTACCCTGAATGGAAAAATTACATGTGGAAGCCCTGGATGGGAGAGTGGCAAGAGGTGCAGTGAGTCCTTACAGGTGCCTGATGGATGAGTTCGGGTTTTGGCAGTACCTTAGGAGAGCCACACATATTCAAAGTGGGACCATCAGTCCTCCTGTTAGAGGAGGACCAGCCTTGTTTGATGAGGGCACCATTAGAGTTCAGCAGGGTAGCACTGTGTTCAAACCCTAAGAACAAGAGATTTGGTTACTACGTAATGAGTATACTGTGAATTTTTCGCCCATCTAACTATCTATGCGGTGCACTGTGACTTTAAATGTTCAAGTCTGTTCTGGTGACACATCCTCTGCCGTGGCTGAACTGGTTCTAAACAAAATCTAAAGATATAGTTAGGAATGAATCTCATTCATAACCTTGGGGCTGTCTGTCTGAGAATATTGTTAAATGCTCTTGCATCAACTCAGACTCATAGCAATCTGGTATAGGGTTTCTGAGGAGCATCTGGTTAGTTTTAACTGTCAACCTTGCAGTTAGCAGTCCAGTATGTGTCCTACAGTGCCATGCCGGGATTCCCTGTTGTTGTTGTTGTTGTTGTTAAGAGTCATCAAGTCGGTTCCAACTCATAATTACCTTGTATAGGGTGGCTGGGGAGTTTTAAACTCCTAGAGGTGGCTGGGGAGTTTTAAACACTGACTTTGTGGTTCAAACGGACCTTGTGGTTTACTGCTTTATCCTAGAGCGCCACACCAGGACTCCCGGATTCTCTATGAGAATGCAAAACCAAATTACTGCCAGCAACACTGTATAGGTTTCTGAGGAGTAACTGGTGAGTTTGAACCTGCCATCTTGTGGTTCAAACCCACCTTGTGCATTATCAAACCAACCAGTGCATTATCCTGCAGTGCCACAACAGAACTCCAGCAATACTTTTGGAAGTCTTTAAAATTTTTCCATATGAATAGAAACAAGTGTGTTACTTACAAGTAATTGCCTTTAGGAGTCCTGGTGTGGCGCTGTGGGCTAATGCGTCAGACTGCAAAGTCATTTGAACTGCAAGGTCAGTGGTACAAACTCACCAGCTGCTCCTTGGAAACTCTATACAGGGTCACTATGGGTTGGAACCTAGTCAACGGCACTTCACAACAACAATTACCTATAGAACCCTGATGGTATAGTGGGTTACATGTTAGACTGCTCACCACAACGTCAGCGGTTTGAATCTACCAGCCACTCCCAAGGAGAAAGATGAGACTGGTCTCAACAAGACAGAACCAATTTGACAGCATGCTGTCCGCCAGCCAACCAACCAACCAGTAATTTCCAAATTATTATTGAGTTTGAGCATGTTTTCATGTTTTTATTACCAATTTGGATTTGATCTTTTGAGAACTCTTAGTTACTTCTTACCTAATGACTTCTCAAACTTGTAATTTAAAAAAAAATTATTATCTCAGCATAAAATAGATTAATTCTGCAATTCCTCTAATCCTTCTCTTCTGATTAATGCATCTCATAAAATGAAATGTTTTTGAAGGGGTGTGTGACAAAAACGTTTCGATAGCCCTGAGCAAATTATTTAATCCTTCTGTTTTATAAACACCAGAAATAATCATGTTCTATTTATCATGATTCTGAGCCTTTAACTTAAGCCAACTCTTGCAAGTTGATGATTTGCTTGGCCAGCCAATATGAGGCTCACGTGCAAGGCATCAGATACCCTCTGATCTTTGCCAACTTTCTAAAGGATTGCTTTTCCAGCTCTAGCTGAAACTTTATATAAGAAATATTACTCCCTATTGGGATCTGTGAATAGTGAAAAATGGTTAACATACTTGGCTGCTAAGCAAAATAACAGTTTGAGTTCACCCAGAACCAGCTTGGAAAAAAGACATGGCTGGCATTGAAAAATCAGGCATCAAAACCCTGTATAGCACAGTTTGATTTTGACACGCGTGGAATTGCCATGAGTCACAATCCACTCATGACAACTGGTTTGGGGTTATTATTACTTATCTTCAACAAAGATTTTAAGTTCATGACTGAAGTTTGTGATAATTTTGACATAGCAAGATGTCCACTGTTTATGGATTTCCAATTCTAGAAAAAAGATTTTACCTGCCACTA